ATTGACACTCCTAATTGAGATTGTAGATAGAGTGTCAATGGTCCATTTGAGAGATAGGTGGCGGTAATGCACTTATAAGTCTGCGTTCCGCTGTAAAGCAAGAAGAAGAAGAAGAAGACGCGTCATGCGCCGGCTGTCAAGGACGCGCTCAGGACAGTTCAGACATTGCGTGAATCAGAGGTAAAAAATTATATAAATACTGTTCAGTTTCTTGCACAGACCGATCGTTTTGTGTCTTTACACATGAATGTATCGTCACGAGCCGCAGGGTTTAATTTGGTTTTGTTTGTGTATGTTTTTTAGACTCTCAAAGTCGTGATTCCCATTCACCTCCATTATAAGACTGACAGACTGCAACGGTTTGAGTTAAAAATCATCATATGTATTCTACTGAAGAAACAAAGTCACCTACATCTTGGATGCCCTGGGGGTAAGCAGATAAACATAAAATTTTCATTTTTGGGTGAACTATCCCTTTAATACTGGCTTGACAAAGCCTTTTTTTTATGTTTGAAGATTTATAGGCCTTATGGACAGAGAGAATGATAGATTTTTCCATGAATGCATTACCTGTGTTGAATTTCTTCAAATTCCTATTCAGTAAATTCCTCTTCCTGTCATAATATTTCAAATTCAAATGTAACTTTCTGTGGGTTGTGGCCAATCCAGTTCAAATTTACATTTGAATCTGAATTTTGCCTAATGAACACCACACATTTTTTATCACCACTCACTTATTTATCACCATAAATAAGGAGTTATCAATATTGTGACATTTTGTCAGTCAGGTTAAACTACTTTCCTGCTGCATATGTTTCAGATATGCAAAGTATTATACAAGTTTTATATGTAGAATTACACAAAATGTTCAAGTGTATATGATGTGCCTGTCTGTATATGTGTCTTCCCCTTTAATTAAAGTGTCTGTCTTTATAATTTCCAGTTTTGGCTCATCCTCTTCCCAGTTAGCCTTGTGTCTGTATCATAGAGGTAAGTTTACTGAGCTCTTATTAGTCAAATTTCTTACCTGCTTTAAAAATCATTTTTAAAAAGTTCATTTTAATTAATATTTATGATGACATTATTCTCTTTATATGTTTGATTATTTCCATGTTTTCACTTCATTTAAGGTTGTTTCGTTTTCTGTCACCATCAAATTTTAAGCACATGCTATTTACTTTATAGAAATGTAAAGCAGAATTCACTAAGACTGCTTTATCTTTTATCAGATTAAAAGAAGTGTCAAACTGTTGACCTGTTACACATAGTTACAGTTCTGCTCATAACTTTACATATTCCTTATCATATTTTTAAAGGGGATCATAAAAATTGCATGTTATTTTTTATTTAGTATTGTCTTGGGGGGGGGGGGGGGGGGATTTCATAACAGATGTTTACATATAGTCCATGCACAAGACAAAATAATAAATGAATCTAAACAAATGAAGTTTACAATTGTTTACAATTGAATTGGGGGATTGGGATATAAATTGTACTTATTTTGTCTTCTGGGAAACATGTACATATCTTATGTTGCTTCTGAAGTACAGTACCAAATGGAAAAAAAAGAGATCTTTAAAATGAAATAAAAAGTTTCACATCAGCATCCTTGTTCAAAAGTTTACACCCCAGCTAAAGGTATAGTTTCATCATTTACTCACCCTCAAGTTGTTTCAAACCTGTATGAGTTTTCTTCAGCTGTTGAACACTTAAGAAGATAACCAAACAGTTGACGGTAGCCATTGACTTCCATAATACAGAAAACAATACTATGGAAGTCTATGGCTGCCATCAACTGTTCGGTTACCAACATTCTTCAAAATATCTTCTTTTGTGTTCAGCAGAAGAAAAACTCATTCAGGTTTGGAATGACATGAGGGTGAATAAATTCTAACAGAATTTTCATTTTTTTTTTATAATGGAACTATCCATTTAATGCATCGTATTGTTGTATTCTTGTTTTCACCTTTTGTAATAGATGTATGTGTATGAGTCCCTCATGTTGTTCTCAGTGTGGAATTGTCCTTGATTGTTGGAAAGTGTTCAAATATGCAAAAGATGCTAGACAAGCAAAGAATGTGCAGAACTGATTCCTTCTACACACACTTGCTCTTTAGAACACAAATGTTAAAAGCACTAAAAGCTTTGGTGTTTCTGTCAAAGCGCAGTGGAGATAAAGTACTGAAGGCAGGGCAAAGCTGCACGTACAATGGCTCTTCTTCCAGCTGAAAATGAAAGGATTTCTCCTTTTAACGCATTGTTCTTTTCTTCCGCTCTCTCCAAAGGACTTTCTTTTCCTTTCTGCTAAATAAGCTTCTTTTTGAGAGATAACCGAGAGCACTCATGCAAATCCAAGATGCGTTCCGAGATGTTTTCAGGAGAATAAAAGGAAGGCTAAACACAGAGCCGGTTTTAAGAGTCATTTGTTCCTATAATTACTCCGGAGCATATTGTTCTGGTGTGGTCCTTACTCATGACTGACACCTCCTCGTTCTCAGGGTGTGACCGCTCCAGAAAAGCAATTACAAAAGGATCTTATCACTTCCTCTGGATGAAAACATGGTTGGAATTATTGTTCATTTGTGTATGCAATAATGAAATACAATAAAAACACACTGGATAGTTTATTGCACTTAAGTGAAAAAAGAGATTGCATGGCTATGTTTGTAATGAATACTAGTTTATGGAATACTATACATATACAATAAACAGAAGTATTCTAAACTGTTGTCACATGAACTCATCACGTTGCAGGTAAATGTCAATCAGGTATTATTCTAAAAATAAAAACGTGTATTATAATATGCTTAATTTTTGTGTACACACACTTGGCCCAATCAAGTAATGGTTTAAAGGATAAGAGTGAGCTAAACTTTGTGGCTACACTTTATTAATTTGTAACTCTGGAAATGGCAGGTCGAGTGCTTTGCACTGTGGGATACAGTAATGTTTGCAATGTGCTCTGTTGTATGCTGTTCATTATGGGAAATTTAGTACAGGTCGACAATTCATATGCAGTACATTGTAAAAAAAAAAATTTTGAACTTCTAAATAAAGATCATTGGAGTATGTTTTTCAAGAGAATTACCAGTACATTTGCCGTGTTTACAGATATTTCCTAAAGCACAACACAACGCATTATGTAATTCAAAATACAGGCAAAACGCCAGTGAAAAAAACAATACAGAATACTGTTCTTACAGTGCAAAATTGCCTGCAAATAATAAGTTGATTATGGAGATTTAAGTTTATACAAAGAGACACCATTCAAAGAAACAAAAGAGTGTAGAATTTCCACTTGCTTGTCTTAATAAGCACTTCCTTTCTCCAGCAACCCTCTAATATTGAAATCCATTCAAAAGATTGCATTATAATCACATAGTAACAGAGAAACACATATGGCCACAGTTATGGACACAAGGTTAACTGAACTTGTCGAGGTGACTTTCAATGACAGTATCTGTGGGAAATGTAATGGAAGCAGCCTATTGGTTAAACACTGAGTTACCAAAACAAAAGTGACAGCTTCTTCTCTGTTGGGTATTCATTAGATAGATATATCTAATCATTGAAGAGGAGTGGACCAACATTCCACAGGCCACAATCAACAACCTGATCAACTCTATGCGAAGGAGATGTGTTGCACTGCATGAGGCAAATGTTGGTCACACCAGATACTGACTGGTTTTCGGACCCCCCCGGATCCCCCAAAACAGTAAAACTGCACATTTTAGAGTGGCCTTTTATTGTGGCCAGCCTAGGGCACACCTGTTTTGGATTTGTATAATAACATTGTGATGACTAGGTGTGTAACAATCTGAATTTACGTTTAATTCATTATCTGTTAAAGATTTTAAAATGTAATATTGTCATTGAACTTGCCTACTGTACTACCAGTGAAAGAAATGCAAAACTGTCCCACAGTGCTGCTGCTCATAGTGTTTCTAGATTTCACAGGACACACCCACACTCACGTCATTGGTCTCAGGACGAACGGACACGCCCACTTCATTCATAACTCAGTGCAGGCGGCTCAAATCTAAGCAATGATGAGCGTTTAAACCCAGATCACTTCAGAGACTCCCGTACACACCGTGCGTCCATGGATAACAACTCCAACCATTGGAACTTGTTTGAAGTTTGGATTTGTATAATAACATTGTGATGACTAGGCGTGTAACAATCTGAATTTACGTTTAATTCATTATCTGTTAAAGATTTTAAAATGTAATATTGTCATTGAACTTGCCTACTGTACTACCAGTGAAAGAAATGCAAAACTGTCCCACAGTGCTGCTGCTCATAGTGTTTCTAGATTTCACAGGACACACCCACACTCACGTCATTGGTCTCAGGACGAACGGACACGCCCACTTCATTCATAACTCAGTGCAGGCGGCTCAAATCTAAGCAATGATGAGCGTTTAAACCCAGATCACTTCAGAGACTCCCGTACACACCGTGCGTCCATGGATAACAACTCCAACCATTGGAACTTGTTTGAAGAGATAAATATCAGTTTTTTGCAAGTCACATACATTTGACAAATAGTCCAAACTTATTTCTAGGCGCAGACTCAGAATTGGTGCCATGTTACAAAGGTAACACAGCCAGGACTGACTGAACTGGGCGTCAAACGAACTTTGGGCGGCTTTTCGGCGGACTGAAGTGAAAAAGAAGCAGCAGAGGAACTGCTTCAGAAATGGCAAAGCCTATGGACCATGTTAAACGCCCCATGAACGCTTTTATGGTGTGGTCGAGAGCCCAGAGACGGAAGATGGCACTGGACAACCCAAAGATGCACAACTCTGAGATCAGCAAACGCCTCGGAGGCGAATGGAAACTCCTGTCAGAGTCTGAAAAAAGACCTTTTATCGACGAAGCCAAACGCCTTAGAGCCGTTCACATGAAAGAACACCCGGATTACAAATACAGACCGCGGCGAAAGCCCAAAAACTTGATCAAAAAGGACAGGTATCATTTTAATGTGACGTACAATCTGGGTGACAGTGACCCGTTGAAAACGGACTCGCTGAGCGCGGAGAAAACGTCTGTCGCCGCTGCTACTCGGGTGTTTTTCAGTCACCAACTGTCCACCAATCCCTATCCGTTTCTCGACCTGACCTCGAAAATGTCGGAATTACCCCCTGCACCTTTCCCACATTACTCAATGCTCGGGTATCCCGGCCGAGTCTCCGCGTTTCACGGGATTCCCGGGGTTCTGGCCGGTGCGCCGCCCGCTCACCCGTCTGCGGGTAACCCGGGTCACATGGTGCCCTATAACTGCCTGGGCTGGCCGGGATCTGGACCTGCTGTTCCTTCATCGTACGTGCTTTTACCAGGAATGACCAAAGCTCAGCATGAACCTTATCTGACATACGCTGCGACGATATGATTGGAAATTAATGGACCACAATGTTCATGTGGTACTATAAGGTCACGTGCACTTGTTTAAAGCTTTGCATTTTGTAAAAAAAAAAATAATAATAATAAACGTTTAAAATAGTATTTGTGCAAAGAGTTGAATCTTTAATCTTTTTTGTATTTTATAAAAAAAAATTGCAGTTGTGTAGTTAGAACTTTGCTGTAAAAGCAATGATGTTACAAGCATATATATATATATACACTCTAAAAAATGCTGGGTTGTTTCAACCCAATGTTGGGTCAAATATGGACTAACCCAACTGTTGGGTTAAATTTTGGTTACATTTTTAAATGAGCTTTTTAACCCAACAGTTGGGTTAGTCCATATTTGACCCAACATTGGGTTGAAACAACCCAGCATTTTTTAGAGTGTATATATATATATATATATAACTAAATATGGCATTTTGTTGGCTGTATTTTACAGTTATAACCGTACATGTCATTAATTGATATAATGTTAATATTCCAGCCTATTAGAGCTAATAAAAAATGTTACTGTAAAACGTGCTGATAATAACACACAGGTGGTACAATGATCACATGGTACGACTAATAATAGCATAAAGACAGAGCACAGTGTTACACACGAACAAAACATATTAAATAACATTAACTAAACAACATAACACTCAAATACTGACGAGCAATTACAGAAAATCTTTAAAACATAAAATGTTATGGTTCACAGAAGGAATTAATGTCTATCACCATAAATCATGAGATCATTCATTTCATACTTTCATTCTCACACAAATGTACCTGTTGTTTTCTTCATATATTATAAAGTAAATTACTTTTGCAATTCTACAATAAAACTGACAACAACTTTATTTTATATAGCATCTTTTAAAGTGGTTTTCTCAAAGCGCTGTATTTGACCGTGCATGTTAAGGTAGCATTTTACATTCTTTTCCTATTAAATGGACTTTTTCTTTATAATGAGACATGGCATGTATGAACACATGATATGAGCTGATGTTATGACATGCACATTTTTTAAAATCTACTTTAAGTTTTTATGGTCAATTATACCAAATGTGGAGGTATAATTATACTAGATAACCAAATGTGGAGAAAAATACAGAAGCAATCATTCCAATCACCTTCTAATATCTGTTTGTTGTTGTCAAAATAATGCTCTTCTGAAAAACCTGATAAATCTGCAATATGATACAGAACAGCAGATGACAAGTGACAGAATGGCACATGGGGAAACAATGTGTTAAGAGCACAGCCATCAAAACCAGAGACAGCAGCTCTATAACATCAGCTAGCTTAAGCAGATAATAGCTCTCAACCACCAACAGACTCTAAGCATTGATGAGAAGAAGCTCTTAAGAGGGAAGTGAAGGAAAAGGCCAGAAAAATACATAACAAAGGCGAGTAAGACACAACTAGCTCCTGATGGGAAGTTTCTTTTCACCAGTTCATGTGATCAGTTAACTTGCACTTCTCATCCTTTTGTTGACTAGACTCAAGACACAAAGAAGAAAGGAATAAATGTTTCCCCAGGCAGAATATTTAAAATAATAATCAATTAAATTGCACATTGCACATACAGTGTTTATTTATATACCACATAATAAATAAGATCAATTATATTTGTTGACTTAAAGTCACTAAAACTAAACAGCTAATGAGTACATCATATGTTCTCTCAGACAAAAATGCATTTATTAGAACCCATCTGTAATCCTGGCTCTTGATGCCAGGCATTTTAGCAGACAACGTGAAATGCCTGATGGGATTTCTTTTCACCAGTTCATGTGATCAGTTAACTTGCACTTCTCATCCTTTTGTTGACTAGACTCAAGACACAAAGAAGAAAGGAATAAATGTTTCCCCAGGCAGAATATTTAAAATAATAATCAATTAAATTGCACATTGCACATACAGTGTTTATTTATATACCACATAATAAATAAGATCAATTATATTTGTTGACTTAAAGTCACTAAAACTAAACAGCTAATGAGTACATCATATGTTCTCTCAGACAAAAATCCATTTATTAGAACCCATCTGTAATCCTGGCTCTTGATGCCAGGCATTTTAGCAGACAACGTGAAATTGCAAAATTTTTAAAAATCTAATTGTACCAGGAGGCCTATGGTGAGTTTTATGGTTAAAAAAAAACCTAAAAACAGGCAGAAGTTGCCAAAACAATGTTAATCATATTAACATAAAATGCAATCAGTTTAATGTGCTAAGTCAAGTAATACAAATTATTGTTATAACCTATTTTGCATGTCAGTCAACTGACTAAAACCAGTGGTCTATTTGTATCTATAATCAGCAGTGACAACAGGTTACAAAGATCAAAGGTAATTATCAGAAGCTTGTGTTTTAGTATAAAGTATAAAGATAACATACAGCATCACAAATAGCAGAATGATTCAGCTCCAGGAATGTAACTGTTTTATTATGTTTTTAATAACAATAAAACAATTTGATGTTAATTTACATAAACAGAAACCCTTTTCAGTGTCGCTTTTAAACATTCTTAAAGACAAACAAGCACCTACAGTAGCCTGTTATTGCTGTAATTAAAGTTGTTTTAAATACAATAGTAAAAAGGTGTATTTATTTATTTGAAAGCTAATCAATACAACATGTTGTCAACAAAGTGGCCTATTGATAAATAAGTTAGTAAATAAATGAATCTAGAAGAAAAACATTTCGGCTTAAACTACTTTCAAGTACGACAAAATTTCTAAATCAGTTTGACCATTTATATTTGTACAAATATGCAAATAAATTGCGTTTATGCTGCAGCTCAGACTCTTTATAGACTTTTCTATTCTATGAACATGCGCACATTTAAAGCCATAGCTCCCTCTGCTGCTAACAGCTAGCATTACCTTTAATGTATTTTCTGCCTTAGTTTATTGTTTGTTTAATATATGATCAGTGTTGGGGGTAACGCATTACAAGTAACGTGAGTTACGTAATCAGATTACTTTTTTAAAGTAACTAGTGAAGTAATGCATTACTTTTTTAATTTTCAAGAAAATATCTGAGTTACTTTTTCAAAAAAGTAATGCCAGTTACATTGTTTTCCATTTATTGACTGACAGCTCTCCTGTCCCCATGTTGGGAGAAATCGGGAGCACAGAGGAGTTGTGTGAGCTGTGTGAACATGATGTTACTGTAGTTCTAGACCAGTGTTTCTCAACCAGGGGTCCGTGGACCCCTAGTGGTCCTTGACATAAGGCCAGGGGGTCCGTATAAAGTATGAATTTTTGTATAAATGTTGTATATTTTGACATGACATGTTCCCATGAAAGAAAAATCCAATATAGCTGATGATATGGCCAAATACTGGACAAGTCAGCTAACTTGAATTATACTTGACTGCATTTGGTCCTCACAAAGACACAAATGATACGAGTCAATTTTGTTCTGGGGGTCCTTGAGGATGGTTCTGAATTGGACTGGGGTCCGGTACGCCAAAAGGTTGAGATTCACTGTTCTAGACTAAATGTGAATGTGCATTAATTCATCCCACTCACAAAAAACAGATTTAATATTCATCAAAATGAATTAAAACAGTGAAATGCAAACTCAGAATATGACTCAAACCTGCAATAATTAAATATGTTAAATAACACAAATGTATCTAATCCCATTTTATTAACCAATATCTTTGGCTGCTGAGCTTTGATGATCCAGTTCAACCATACTAATAAGCACAAATGACTTTAGCTAAACTAACAATTGTGCTTTGTTTTTTTTATTGCTGAAGAGTGTTTCTTCTCCTGCGTTCTACTGTACAGACGTGAAAGCCTGAGGTTTATTCATTACACTTTTTGGTGTGAAAGAGCTTTAATATTTGCTATAAACAGAACTTCTTATATTAAAAACAATCAAGCCCTGCTTATATTTAAAAAGTAACGCGAAAGTAACGCAAAAGTAATATAACGCATTACTTTCCATAAAAAGTAACTAAGTAACGTAATTGGTTATTTTTTTAGGGAGTAACGCAATATTGTAATACATTACTTTTAAAAGTAACTTTCCCCAACACTGTATATGAATGCCTTTATGCATGTATAATTTTATCTGTCAACTACTGAGTTTAATAATCTTTTTTTTTTTGTCCAGTAACTACACTTGAGCAAAACGACTTCATGAAAGTTTCATAATCGTCTATGCTTTTTATTTTATGTCACAACTAGATTAATTTCTGTGGTGTGAGACATGCACGCGCTCTACTGGATCTATACGGCAGTGCAGTATCTACGGCGCAGTAGTCTTACTTTTGGTTGCTAGGAAACAGTCAACAGTCAGAGCCAGTGGACGTCGAAGGGTAAGACGATGTGAAATAACGCTAGTACTGCTAAAAATATATATATATATTGCCAACCAAAAGTGTAAATATTACAACTAAAAACTTGTTTGCGTTTCTTTCTTTATTTCTACCGCTTACTGCGCGGAAAATATTTAGCAAATATCTGCATGAAAAATCAGCGTGGCCTTGGCCTTTAATCTGAATGCAGGATTCGTTGATGATTGATTAGTACAAACATTCCTTCTATCTATCTATCTATCTATCTGACTATTTCTATCTATCTATCTATCTATCTATCTATCTGACTATTTCTATCTATCTATCTATCTGACTATTTCTATCTATCTATCTGACTATTTCTATCTATCTATCTATCTGACTATTTCTGTCTATCTATCTATCTGACTATTTCTTTCTATCTATCTATCTGACTATTTCTATCTATCTATCTATCTGACTATTTCTATCTATTCTATCATCTATCTATCATCTATCTATCTATCATCTATCTATATCTATCTATCTATCTGACTATTTCTATCTATCTATCTATCATCAATCTATCTATCTATCTATCATCTATCTATCATCTATCTATCTATCATCTATCTATATCTATCTATCTATCTGACTATTTCTATCTATCTATCTATCATCAATCTATCTATCTATCTATCATCTATCTATCATCTATCTATCTATCATCTATCTATATCTATCTATCTATCTGACTATTTCTATCTATCTATCTATCTATCTATCTGACTATTTCTATCTATCTATCTATCTATCTATCGATCTGACTATTTCTATCTATCTATCTATCAGACTATTTCTATCTATCTATCAGACTATTTCTATCTATATCTATCTATCTATCAGACTATTTCTATCTATCTATCTATCTGACTATTTCTATCTATCTATCTGACTATTTCTATCTATCTATCTATATATCTCTCTATCTATCTGACTATTTCTATCTATCTATCTGACTATTTCTATCTATCTATCTATCTGTCTATCTATCTATCTGACTATTTCTATCTATCTATCTATCTATCTGACTATTTCTATCTATCTATCTGACTATTTCTATCTATCTATCTATCTGTCTATCTATCTATCTGACTATTTCTATCTATCTATCTATCTATCTATCTATCTATCTATCTATCATGACAGACACGTAGCGGAAGGGGAGGGGCTACTGATTTCTGGATGACAAAAAACCTTATTAAAGTACATTTTTATCTATTTGGGCCACAATTTGTTGCTTGACAAACTTTCTCTCAGAAGAAAGGATACAAGTACTCATTTGAAATCACTGTTTAATCCTATTGAATTAAACTCAGACACAAGAAAACGGATGGTTTGTATTAGATTATTAATACTTTTCATGTTTTTGGTTTTGTGCCTATGGCCAAACTGAGGGATATTATTATGAAATCTTTAGTTGTTGGTTCAGTGTTTTAGCAAGTTTGGATTTTGTGTAGTTATGAAATGCATCTTCTCTTCTAAATCTGTGATCCACAGAAATTCAGCAAGCATGCCTAAAAAAGCAGGGAAGAAAGGAGGCGGAAAACTTGCTGGGATGACAGAAGAGGAGAGGCTTCTGTACATGCAGCAGAAGGCTCAAGCTGAGGAGGAGATAGCCAAGAGAAAAGAGGACATGCTCACACACTTCCTCAAGGTGTGCCAAACACCTGATAAATAACATATAAAACATATATGTGACCTTGGACAATAAAACCAGTCATAAGTGTCAATTTTTCGAAATTGAGATTTATATATCATCTAAAAGCTGAATAAATAAGCTTTCCATTTATGTATTATTTGTTATGATAGGACAATATTTGGTCGAGATACAACTATTTGAATATCTGGAATCTGAGGGTGCAAAAAAATCTAAATATTGAGAAAATCGCCTTTAAAGTTGTCCAAATGAAGTTCTTAGGAATGCATATTACCAATCAAAAAAGAAAAAAAAGGTTTAATATATTTACGGTAGGAAATTTACAAAATATCTTCATGAAACATGATCTTTACTTAATATCCTAATGATTTTTGGAATAAAAGCTTGTATCATAAGAAGACTTCCAAGACAGTTTCTTTAAACAGGGATGCATTTTGAATATTTATTGGGAGTAGTGTTGGATCTGGAGTAGAGATCATACTTCTCTCTCTTCCATAGGGGGAAAGGTTGATTCGTCTCTCTGAGATGTGTAGTAAGCTGGAGACCGAGTATGAGAAGGTTCTGCCCTTCTACACATCCTCACTGAGTGAAGAAGAGCTGAATAAGGAGAGAGCCAATGCCATGGAGCCGCTGAATGAGAAACTTGCTCAGGTAATGAGATTCAAATCACACTCAGTAGTCCTTCAGATTCCATGTTGAACTTGCATTCAACTTGCTTTGTGGCTTTTCACAACCCAATGAATTTCAGATGGGGAAAAAATCTTCACAGTTTCACTTAGATATATATTACATTGTGAACTATTTCATGCCAATTCATTACTTTAATTTGATGTGTAGCGTTTATTGACTTCTGACTTGTCCTGTTCTCTGTCCTCAGCTAATGCTTGACCATTTGCCTCTTGAGAAGTTCTGGCAACGGTACAACAAGGTTCAGCTTGAACATTTGTGTCTGAAGCGAGAGAAAACGCTGCTGTTACAGGAGAATGAACGATTGAGGCTCTATCTGAAGCAGTATCTGGATGAAGTTTCGGTTTCTGATGAGAGTTTTCGGCAACAGAAGCTTCTGGTGGTGTTGTCTCCTTCTCTACAGGACACCGCTGCCACTGAGAGACGCGATCAGAAGCGCTATGTGGTCCAAGAAGCAGCAAATGTTGTGCACAAACAGTTTTAGGGAATAAAAATGCAATGCAAGTGTTTCTGGTTGCAATTAAAACATTTTCTGCCTAGCATTCAATCAGTTAGTCTGTTTAATGCAATGATCTCAGTACATTTTATATTAAATTTATGATTTTAGCAGACACTTTCTTCACAGCTTTTTTATACTTCTGAGAAAAAAAGAAGGGTTTAATGTCCTCAAGATGGCGCCAAATCATTGAAGATTCCAAAAATGTTCCATTATAATTTATCTGGAGGGTTTTTAATGCGTTCTGTAACCAGTGTGTCCTGTTTTCCAATATTCTAAAGCAGAAATACTAAATAGCTAATTTAAGTATGTTAATGAACAACAATAGCAGTAATTCTGTGTTTTGAAATTCTAATATTGATTCCCTTACGAAAAAGAAGTTTATTCAAGTGTGCTATTAGTATACTAAAAAATAGGAATGAAAAAAATTGTTTAGAAATTGTAAAATTCAGAGGGCTTTTGTTTGTCATAAAATCATTTTGTAAATTAAATTTTATGCATAAAATATTTATCTATGCATACATATTTATGCATCAGATCAACAAAATGTATTTTATTATTTATTTATTTTACTCTATATGTGTTCATTGTTTCTGGTGTATCCAGAACTGTTATATATATATTTAGAACTTTCTAATATAAGTACAATATATATATATATATATATATATATATATATATATATTCAATATTCTCAAGAAAAGATTCATATAAAAAATCTCCTTCAAACAGTCAAACATTCCATGAAAGAGACTGTAATCATAGTTTATTCATAGTAAAGTTCAAAGCATAAGGTCATTCCAATGTTGTTATTATGCTTATAGTAAATGTCAAATGTCATATAATACCGGAGTTGGTCAATAAAGGATGGTTGTGCACAAAATATAATGAAGCCTGAAATAAGACTTGTTGTCTTGGTAAATCCTTCAAGTTCTTAAAACAGGGAGAAACTGCTTCTTGTATCATAAGAAGACTTCCAAGACAGTTTCTTTAAACAGGGATGCATTTTGAATATTTATTGAAAAAATAGGAAAGTATACTTTTAGTCTACTTTTTCGGTACTTCGCAGAAATGGGCTTTATGTTGGTCTCAGAAATATACTTAAAATGACATTTAAGTATACTTGACTTATACTTGAAAAAGTCTAAATATATTTGAGCTACTGTATACTTGTGCTCCTAGAATCCGTGTTTTCATTGTTATACTGTAGAGAGCGCTAGTACACATCTTCTGTACAGAATTTCCAAAAAACACAAGTGAAGAAGAAACCGAAACAACAGATGCTTCCACATGTATTCTAACACGATCATTAGACATAAAACAGCATCAAAACTGTGTAACGTTATGGAATAAAATGTAGACCAATGAAGAGGTAATAATGACTGTCAAGCTTTGGGGTGTTGATCGACTCTTATCTATGTTTTGATTATCATTCTGAATCCAATTCATAGTCCTTTCAGCTTTTTGTTTAAAATGTTATTTCTTTATTTTTTATGAAACTTACCACATTCAAGTGTTTAAAAAAGAATGCATGAAGCTAGAATAAAATGTTTTTGTTTACAAGCAGATACCCTGCTCTTTCTTTTGATGTTTTGTATGTTCAGATATTCATATAACAAAATATATACAAATTAATATCTGAATAGTAGTATACTTAAAGTATGATGTAAAGTTCACTTAAAGAAAACTTACGAGTATACTTGCAGTATAAAACTACTAAACAAGTACTTTACTGAGACTATACTTCAAAGTGTACTAAAATGCTACAAGTATTTAATTAGTAAACTATCAGTATACCTATAAGTTCACTTTTAGTATAGTTGCAGTACAAGCTAAACATATTGATGTAAACTAGTTGTGTACTCAAATTTTACTACTGTTATACTTAAAAGTATACTTTTATATACTAGAAAGTGGGCCAATTTAGTCCCAATGAGTATTGAAATAGTACACTTACAA